AAAGAAGAATTGCGGACGCAGTGCAGGGACAGGGTGACAGGCACAAGAAATTGGAGAATCCGAGCCACGAACGGGGGGTGGTTTGTGGGTGTCACGGTGTGAGGGCGACAGGGGAGAGGAGGAGGAGATTCGTCGATGTGAGCATACGCAGTACTGTGTGAAGGAAGAGAGGTGTGAGGGTTGTGAACAGGACGAAGGTGTGCGAGGTTAGGGAGAACGGCGTGGACGGGGAGAGGCGGACTGGGATTGTGGCTGCACGGCGGGACGGATGGTGATGGTCGAGGCAGGGGGTGGGGGAGCATGGGGGGTGAGAGAGGGGCGTGGGATGAATCATGAGATTGGGTTTATGAGTGTGGACTGTGAGTGTGGGAACCTGGGAATGGGAATGAGTGAGTGTGAGTGGTCACTCACTGATGAGAGTGAATCGACAGTGTGAGTATTACCTACACTAGGTGCCTTACTGAATGTGAGTGTGTGTGAGCATTACACTACCTACCTCACTACATAGTGGATGTAAGTACGGATAAGTGTGAGTATTGGAGTGAGGTGAGGCTAACATTAGGGCTCAAAATATCCTCACTCCAGGTCGGTCCACCGACAACCTCAGGTAGGATGAAAAGAGAATAAATTCCCAGTGCCCCCGCTCACTACTCTCATGGCCGTCCTAACAGGTAATGCGCTGGAACAGTCGTCATCTCATCGGCTCACCAGACAGGAGAGTCGACTAGGGACGGGGCTACGGGATGAGAGGGATGAGACTCATTCGAGAGGCACGATGGCGGCACTAAGAGAAAAGAGGAAGAGGAGGAGCGGGATTGGCCCCGGCTGGACACTCAAAAGAGGCCCCCTGAGGATGTCAGTGGACCGACCTGGAGTGAGTGCCCCGGCACGACCTGGCTCAGTACCTCACCTACTTGTACGGAGTACGTACTTGGTAGTACAGTACCTTAGTATAGGTGGTGAACGTGTTCCTGGCAGCCAGCTGCAAAATGCACGCCCGACTCCCCGTGCCCCTGGCATTTTGTTCCTGGCACTTGTCTGGCTTGGGTCTGGCCCCGGATGCGAAATGCAAGGGACCTGGCTAGCCATTGAACACTGCACGCTACGTCGCTACCTCACTGTGTGCAGACACTGCAGAGCGTAGCGCGGACAGAAGCTGGGTCACCCATTGGTGGGCAGCAGACACAAGGAAAGCCGTTGACAAGTGAAGGGGTGTTGGCGTCTGTTAGGCTGCGTTGCGGAATTGTGGTGGTGTGCCGCGGCCGAGCACTAACAGCTTCACGGCCAGATCCTGTGGCCTTATGTCAGCTGAACCAGGGGTACGTACTATGCTTAACAGCCCGGGCAGTGATGGAGGGGTGGAAGACTCAAATGTCAAAATTGCAAGTGGGGTCGATTCTCGCTGCTTTCTCTTCTTTTCATCCCGCGCCTACTACTCCGTAAGTAAGGTACCCTAGGTACCACACGGTACGTACGGACAATACATCACGCAGTAATACATAGGTACTCCGGACGCCAGGCACGCTGCACGCCGGCATGTTCCCCTCGGCTTATCTGCTACTCCTGGCCTTTTCAGCAGCCGCGGGTGATGAATTGCCGTCATTGCATCAATTGGTTGACAGACACGAGGCAGGGGAAGTGTCTTGTTCAATGCATCGAGTGTTAATCAATGATTGGCGTCAATGGTACTGTGTAGATGTTCCTGCACGATCTGAAGCCAAAAAAGCAAGCGCCCTCAAACGCTTCACTCGTCCTCTCTGATCACCTCCTTCCTACTTCCCTTACATAGTACCTGAGGTAAATACTGCTTGAGTTCCTCCGCTCTTTCCTTAGTCAGCTCGAGTAGCGAGGGATACGTACCTGCTCCTGCTCTTCCACCAGACGGCAGAACATGGGCGTGCCTGTGCCACCAACGGCAGGTGAAGCTGCAGATGTGCAGATGCGTTGATGCAGGTACTCGTGCGTACCATCCTGCCTTGCCTGCACCTGCCTCGGGTGCTTGGATGGGACGGAAAGTGCCCTGACTGGACTTGGAAGGAAGCAATTCACTGTTTAACTCCATCGTTTTGCATTACTAGAGGATTGCCGCAGTACATATAGACGCTACCCTACCCTCGAATTCCGTACTATTTAACCTTAACCCTTTTTTTACCTATCCTTTCCTCTATTCTACCCTCTCCTTTATTAAAAAATCGCTAAAATCGTAGTTTTAATAGCTTATTAATAAATTAATATTACTATTTAAAAATAAATAACCTATTTTTATATATAAATATTAAGAGTTTTATTATTATAAAAATAGTAATAAATATATTAGAGTATTTAAAAAAGCTTTTTAATAAACTTTTAATATTATTTAAAATAATTATCCTCGAGCTATAAAAAAAAACCGAGGCGCTATATTAATATAGCCCTATTTATTTTATTAATATTAATAATACTTTTTTTAATATAAAATATATTAATAATACTCTATAATTACGTTATTATACTTCGTAAATCGTACTTAATATTAATAAAGATTTTAATATTATTTATTAAATATTTTATTAAGGTCGTTATTATAGGGTTAGTTTAGTTATTAATATTTTAATAAGTATTTTAATTTAACTTAGAAGCTCTTATAACTTTTAATTAGAGGTTTTTAAAGAACTTATAATTAGACTTTTTATTTATTATAAGTAAAGCTATTATAGTTAAAATTATAATATTACTTAGGAATTTTAATAATAAGTAGTTAATAATATAGTTATTTTTTTTTTATAATAAGCTTAAAAAAATATCTTAATTTAAGTACTAGGTAGGTATTATATTATTTTATTAAAACTATATTCTTATATTTATAACTTAGAAAGAATTAACTTTCTTTGATAATAAGGTACTTAGGAAGGAAGCAATTGTGAGAGTTCCTTCTATCTCAATCTACCTTGGAACCACCACTCCCACTCACGGGCAGATTCCTGAGTCTTCTATCTTCCTCCACACAACTTGACGAGATACCTACGCGCCCCCCCCCCCCCCCCCCCCCCCCCCCCCCCCCCCCCCCCTCCCCCCCCGCCCCCCTCTGCGACCGACCACACTACCAACAAAACACACACCACACACCCCCCCCAGCACAATTCCTGGGTTCCTCTCTTCCCCCCCCCACCCCGGCGCAGACCCCCCCCCCCCCCCCCCCCCCCCCTCGTCTTCGGTCTTCGACCCTCAATGTCTCGGTCTGCCAGTAAGGATTCATCATCAAAACAAACCATCAGTCTCATCGCCACGACGCCTTTGGGCCAGAGGAGCGAAGAAGGAACATGGCCGCACGCCAGAGAACGCACATGACACCGCCCCAAATTCCATCCTCTTGATCGACGCCTCCTTCAATATCAACGACCACAATAACCGCCATAGCCGCCGTGGACCGCCCTTCTAGCAACTAGGACGAAGAAGAAGCATTTGCCCATTCTCAAAAGTCTTGTCAACCTCAAAAGGCACGGCTATGGCTGTCTTTGCACAAAGCCGTTACAGCTCGACAGTCTCGCGTACCTACCCCATCAAATCGCATCATCTCAATCACCAAAAGTCTACCGCCCTGGCTTACTACGGCATGAGCTTGCGCTTCCATCGAACCATACGCTGCCAGTCAGAGAAACATCTCTCGCATCGCCCGCAAGCTTTGATCAGCAACGCAGCCAAGACCCCTTCCGAGCCGTTGCCGTTTTCACCTGCGCGCTTGTCACCAAAGTCTGTTCTTGCCGATGCCCATCCGTTCCTCTTATAGCCCAAGACAACAAACGGACGAAACGCATGACCACGAGAGTCAAAGTCATCGTAAACATCGACAATTGAGCCGCCTAGATTCCTCCCAAAGTCATCCGCCCACCGCTCAAAGAGTCCCGGCCCGCTCTCGTGCCCTCCATCGCCTGGCCCCCGCATGCTTCCCGTCGTTTCGCCTCACCAAGTTCGCATACCTATCACATTCGCAAGTCGTTGCCACTTGCCACAACCTCTGTTTATCCACCGCGTACTTCTTGGCCCTCTGGCTCTCTCACTGTCTCTCTTGCTCTCGATTTGGTTCCGTTCGAAGTTGTTCAAGGAGTTGCCTACTCGTTTTTAATCGCCATCATCTCTTCCAAACGCCGAGCTGGACGCAGGCAAGGGGTGGCTCTAGCAGAAACGGGAGTCGGCTGCGTCCCGCACTTAAATACATGGCTAGGTACGCCCTGCCGCTCCATCACTCTACTTGTTGGCGCCGAGCTGTACTCAAGCTTCCAGGTCACGTCGGCAGCTCCAGCAGTCACCGTTGAACATAGACCAGCAAGCACACGGTTCAGCAGTTCCAAGACAGATGCTTTACTGTATGCTCCGTAGCCACCTACGGATGCGCCGTGCTGGTCGAGGGTCTTTAACCTTAAAAAGAAGCAATTGGTCCGACCTGCCCCAAGGCTTCTTGCCAGTCAACGCGCGCACATGCTTAGAGCTGCCTGCATTGATGCTTCCGCGCTGATCACTAGAAACCACTGGCCAGCCGGGCAAGCGTCAGATCCGTATCAGCCAGGCCTTTGGGTAAATGAACTGACAAATGACAGACTTCTCAACCATCTACGAGGGGCGTGTCGACCAAATTATCAAGAGACCAGGGGCGCACTAACAGGCCACAACTCTTCCAAATGTCTCACCACCCAACCAAATTATAGCGCCAACCGTTGCAAGCTCTTGTCCACTGCTCATAATGTCCGGCTCTAGAGCCAGTCAATGCAGTCTTGGATCCAAGAGCATGTGGAAAGCCACTGCCCAGGCTCGCCAAACCCAGGCAGTTCTTAGCTTTGCAGCTTCAAGAGCGGCAATCATAGTGTACGCAGGGCAAGGCGATGCCCAACCGCAGTTCACAACTTGACTTTCGGATCAAACGTATCGACTCCAAACTCACAACTACAATGTGGTTGCACAGCGCCTGAGAAACATAGCCAAGGACTTAATCTTATGCGCGACTCTTGTCTTCTGTTGGACCCCTTTTCTGGTGTCTCAACTCTCAACTAAATAACGGGGCGGATACGGCCCTCACAATTTCGTCAACCGTCTATCGTGGTCTATTGGTTCAGCCTCAAATCGTCCCAGGGCCGCTATGGTGTCGTTGCACCAAACACAATGAGACCAGTACCAGGAACCACAGCAGAAGTTCAGGTAGATACTCTGCTGCCCTCATCCTGCAGTTTGTTTCAAGAGCCTTGCACTCATACCTGGTGTCTGGCCAAGCCAAATTGGTGTTTGCTGATCGGCGCAAGATTCAATGAGATACAGGAACTGCGGTGGTATCTGCGCCATTGTCGTCAGTCTGCATCTCGCGTGCTGTGTTTGTAGATGCTGTGCCCTCGGCGCCGCCACTCAAGATCCGCTCAAGATCCGGTCAGCTGGCGTTCCCTCGACCAACCCCTATTTTTGACTCTTAACTTTTCAATCTACCAGCCGCACGACCTCGATGTCTGCTCACCTAGGCACTACCGAGCGATGTCAGCAGATGAAAAGATACGAGCAGTTACACAAACATCAGCTTCTGTTTTGCTTAGGCTCACGCGCAGCAACTATTTGTCGTCGTCTACGAGACTGGCGAAGGCCATGACAATCACTAATGTCCATTGTGGCACCCTGGTCTCCTCGAACGACAGCCTGGGCCAAGTGGCCGAGACGCTTTACCAGGGCAGCTTTGGCCCGCGCCCACTTTGCACATCACCCGTGCCGCCATGCAACCCCCCGCGTTTCCGTCAGATTCGCGTTTCGGCTGTAATCCAATGCAGCGCTTCTTGCATTCCAGCCCTCTCTCTCTTCAGCTCTCGAGACGTCCTGGGCAAACTTTCAGCTCGGCTGCAACTTGAGCGGGTTGCCTATCACCAGGCTTCCCCGTCCTTGCTGGCTTTGGGCCGTTTGGTTTCGAATCGAGCTCTGTTTCAACCTATTCATGTCTCGGGGCTGAAAGGAGGTTGATTCGACACATCAACGAGACTACCAACTGCATCCCCGTGGACCTGGTCTTTTGTGCGGTAGAAAGGAGGTGGCAATACGTGCCTGGTCCGGTTTTGTTCTGGCTCGAACTACGGCCGACATCCCGGCTTATTGAGCCCGTCACGGCACAGCAACTGAGTGGTCTTGCGGAACAAACGGCTGTCGATTGCAATAGAGGTTCCGGCCCTACTAGCTACAGCCCATAACTGCCCTACGAATGCTTCGTACGGTCATCATTGGAGAGAAAGAGATTCCGAGCTGCGCATGCTTCTTTTCCCCAAGGCGAGACGACCTTTACGCATGATCAGGAAACAAACAAGAATTCTCCCACTGGACACCACTAGTCATCTCGATTCATTGGCACTCAGTGCGCATTCAATGCTAGCCAACGAAGACACCTCGAAGCCTCTTGGTCCCACTGGATGAACATCTTCGCCCCACGAAAACGTTAGAATTGGCTCGAATTCACCTCATAGCATCTACTCAGTGCAGTACTCCGCAGTGTCTGACTTGGAAACACAACGACTTCACGATTCATGCAAAGCACACAATTTCGTTCACGGGGGTGTGTCTCGCTTCTTGCTGTTAGACGGACAGCGATCCCTTGGCCTTCAGCCGTCAACTTTTCAAACTCCCCGCTAGCCAAGCAAACGGACGCCGTCACAGCGACAATCTTTTTTCCCCCACCCCCTTTCGAAATTTTGAAGAGGGGCTCCCGACACTTTCTCTCTTGGACCATCCCTGCGGACCTGGCCGCCAGCTTCCGCGGCCAATCAGCAAGCCGTGCCTGGCCCTTTTACCTTTGCAGCGGCGATCGTAGCTCCTTGCCTTTGCTGGTTGGGTTAAATCTCGCCATCTGGACAGTGAGCTCAGCTGGCTTCGTCGGTTGCCAGTTCGTTCTTGCGAAGCTTGAAGAAAAGTGCCGGTCATTCTTCGTGCTGCTGTGGACGAAGCGCGGCACGAATATTAAGCCTGCGAGCAGCTTGTGAAGACGTCGGAAGCCTCACCCATTCTCGAATCGGATCGGCGTCAGCTTCATACAGCATGATTATTCTGATGCTGGAAAAGAAACTATCTTGCACTGCAAGACGTACAGTGTCGGAAACTCCTGCACTGCTATGCCCTAGCGCGTCCTTGTGCCCGTACGGAGAACCAGATGTTGTCATCAGATCTCATTCATGGCAGATCCCGGCCAAGGCGATGCTTCACACTTGTATGGAAGTTGGAACGCCGGAGCTGCCGTTGCTGTCGGCGAGTCGATAACTGCTTATTCGTACAGAAACGGTTCAGCCCAACGGCCAGGAATACTTTGCGATATGAAGATGGGCAGACTCAGACTCTGTAAAGGTGCAATTTCTTAAGCGAGTCCACCCTGAATCCCAGCCGAGTGGTTGTCGGCTGTTCGGTCGGGAAAGCTACTGACCCAACGAGTGGGATCGCAGCCCTAGATTACCAACGGGTCCAACTCTTTGAGATTGAAGAAACAAATATACACTTTCTTGGCAGCACTCAGCGAGATTGATCCTTCAGAAACGATTCATCAGATCCAGAGGCGCTGCTTCAGAGGGGCTGCTTCTGCGGCAGCGCCTTCCGCAGGTCGCTTTGTCGGCGGCGGTGCAGCATGCTTGGTCGAGCCCTGCTAGACCAACACACGTCAGCCAAGTTGAGATGACCTGGACCATCGAGATTGAGCACGAATCGAATGTAATCAATGTTTGATGGGCATGTGGGTGCGAGATTTCTGCTGACGGAGCACTGAAAGCCTTGACGGCCAAGGGGAAATTCCCGCTACAAGAAACACAGATTCAGTTCCCCCGCCTGCTCCAAGGACTTTCCCGGTCCTGCAGCACGGCATGAACGCTGGCGGCCTGGGTTCGATATGGCCCGGTGCAGCCGCAGATTGAGGTTGTCGCATCTTGATTAACTGAAGAAAGAATGGAGTCATCAAAGATGTGCCGTGCGCCAGTTCGTCTGATAATGACGCTCCTACCAGCCGGGCCGTTCCCAGTCTTTAAGATTTACAATTGGTTTTTGACGGTCCAAAGCTTTTTTCTTACGGAGTACTTATGTTTTTTCCTCTCCATTGTTAGCGCTAGAACGTGTCTCCAGGTCCACTCAACGGCATGTTGTTGGCAAGGCTGACCCGGAGCTGATCGCTGGGGAAGACGAGGGATATTCAAGAGATTGACGACCAAACGGAGCACCTACGGACGAGCAACGGGGGCCAACGTGGCATCGACTGATGACGGCACAGAAAATCCCGAGGGATGCGGTTGTAAAATGATGACCCACGATCTTGTTGAAAGGACACGGCTCACGCGGCGGCGTGATCGGACCGGAAGTTCAAGAATTTGACGGCCTCCATCCTGGCACAATCCAGGGCGAACGGACATTTATCACCCATCCATGATCCAGCACATGGCCTCCCGCTCATCACCGTGTGGATATAGAGGAGGCCAGCCAGACTGGCGAATACGCCGACAGATCCAAACTATCGGGGTCGAAGGTCCCTTGAATGCTAGCTACTTCATCGCCACGATCCAAACTCCAGGATGCGTTCGTCGATACTGAGAGTTGACCATGGTCGTTGCGAAGGAGGAAAGCTACGTCAGTCAATATGTGTAAAACGGTCTAAGATGAAAGACTCCCCACAGCCTGGACCAGTCGTGTGGCCGAAGACTTATGCAGTCCCCGGGGCGAGAGTCACGATTCGTGTTACCACGAGAGGCAAGTGGTTTGGGATGGCTCAGTGATGGATCACCTCTGCAGCCGCGCAGCGTTTCTAACATTACGCATCCGTACGGAATACGCCCACGTCCATTTCCCCCTTGCCGGCGCTAAGAAGCCGACGTTATCTCGCTTCCGCACCACGCTGGGCCGCCCCAATCTCCGCGATTTGCACCTCTCCCTCCAGTTTGGCCGTCACCCTGAGCTCCCCATCGGACGGTCATCGAAAGCCAGTTGTCAGGGCTGAACCAAAGGGCTGCCCGCACACAAAAGCATGGCAACAATGGAGTCAAGGTTGCAAGAGAATTTTTTCCTTACGAGAGTCTGGACCCTCCATCACTGGGAAGCAGCTGGGAAGATTGGTATCTACCATGGCAGAAGCCATGCGATGATTCCCGCTCCGTCACTCCGATGGCCGCAAGACTCCCACACTCCACGTGCCGCCCATCGAGTCGCCCAGTCCAGTCTCCCCATGCTTGTTATGCACCCCTGCTTGAGGAATGCAACCCGAGACGGCGGGTTTGGTCTGGAATTTGATCTACCTGGTCGCGGGGGACGTGCTACAGGTTACTACCGGCCGAAAGTGGTTGCATTACTGCGGCCCTGTCTTGGATCGCCATTCTTGTTCTCTGCGCTGCTTGTAACACCGCTTCTGAGTCCGGCTTGAGAGACTCTTGCCAAAGGAGAGTGCGCCTGGGATAGCATGGCTTACAATTTCGAAGATTGTGCTGCACGAGCGAGTGCACTGCGGTCAAGCTCATTTGACTCCCATCTGCAAGGTTTCCGACTTTTCTCGCGCAAAATATCGCTCAACAGCGGGCCCGGACATGACGGTCACAAAGTTTGATGCCACTTGTTAGGCTCATGTTATTTTTTGTTTACAAATTTCCCCGAATATGTCAAGTCGACGCGGTTCAAGGCGCGGTCCGCGTCTGTCGGCGGTGGAATTGGCGTTTGGCGGGGTAAGCCTCCGTCCGCTGGAGCCGCTAGTACGAATGCCATTACCAGTACACAGAGTATCCGTATGTAGGTATTACAACTCACACAGGCCGACCCTGTCGAACGGCGGAACATGAGAAATTGGGAATTTGGGAGGGGGCGTGCATTGCATGCCATGCCTCTTGAGGTGACGTTGAGAAGTCGAGACCAAGTTAAGAGATGGTATGAGCGGCCATAGTTACGGCTGATAAGCCCATATTGGGGATAGTTCGTCCGTGAGTCGATCGAGTCCAAGGGAACGTAGTTAGCCGCAGGCGATGGCAAACACTCACCGGCTGGCCGGCGTGCTACGTCTAAACCTATCTAGAGTTTGGTATGCAGTCCACTGAACATCCGATGGGTGTGGTATGATCTGTTGGGACTGTTGTAGAGGGGAAATGCCAATGATTGGAAGCGACGATGGGGTCGCGCGTCGGCGACGCGGTGGTGTGAGGTGACATTGGATGGGCGGGCGAGGGCCCACGCCAGGTGGGACATCCAGGGTTCGATCGATGACAAAGTGGTATTGTGCTATCTTGTCTCGACGTCCGGTGTAACACTCTTGGTGCCAGTTGCGGAAGCGAGACATACTTCTGCCCGGCCCGGCGATTGATATGAGGCCAGCGCCGGCCGGACCCCCGGCTCCGGAGCCGGGGAATTGAGACGCCGGGCCGCCAGACCATGGACCCGAAATGTATTCCGATCTCTGATGAACGGTTTGAATTACCAGCAAAGATCTGACCGTCTGTTTACACGGTCTGGGCGTTGAGTTCATTGTAGCAGTTGATTTCGTCAAGTTCAATTCCATGTAAATTTAAACACTTTATTCAATGAAAAAATAAAATCGACATTTAGTACAACTCAAGAGTGAGTAGAGAATGCCGTATAACCCGGAGACATACTCACTCAACCCGATCCAAAACATCCTCCGTCCACCGCCAAAGCCGTCCAGCCAACTCCCCATCCGTCGCCACCTTATCCAGCTTATCATCCGCCAAGTGTCCGACGGGCATATAAAACCCGCCATTCACGAGATCCGTCTTCTTGGCCGCCGCGGCGGCCCAGACCTGGTTCCAGCAGCCCTGCTCCGGCGTCAGGACGGAGGACCCCATGATCGTTTGCGGGAGGTAGACGAAGAGGCGGTTGAGGCGGCTTTGGTTTGTTACCAGGCCTGTGTCGACGACGCCTGGGTGGATTGCGAGGGTTGTTATGGAGGGGTGGCGGCGGGCGAGTTCGCGGGTGAAGAGGATGTTTGCGAGTTTGCTTTGGCTGGTGAGAGGAGATGTTAGTTTGGGAGATTTCTTGGGTTACTTTTCGAGACCTGTGATGACTTTGAGGGCTAGGGGAAGTAAGGGGCAAGAGTGGGTGGATGACGAAGAGGATGAGCAACGTACCCGTATCGAATCCATTGGCCCAGAACCGGCGGTCCAGTTTGTGTTGTTCCAAGCGTCTCGAAGGAGATGCCGTCGCGCGGGTGGGCTTGGTACCCGACGGACGTGAGGTTGATGATGCGTACGTCAGCCGGGGCATCGTCGTCGCCGCCGCCGCCGCCGTCACTAGATGAAGATCCAGATCCCCTAGCGGTACGTAGTAGGACCGGTAGTAGCTCCCGAACAACCATGGCGTGGCCTAGGTGATTCGTAGCAAATTGGATCTCGTAGCCGTCGGCTGAGAGGCCGGGAGCGCCGGCCATGATGCCTGCGTTGTTGATTAGGATGTCGAGGCGGGTGTGAGTGAAGTGTTTCTTGATGGCGGCGCGGATTGAGGGGAGGGAGGTTTGGTCTAGGGGAACGAAGGTTAGGGGTGGAGGGGTTGGTGAAGAGGAGGAGGAAGCGGCGGCATCGATGAGGGCTTTGGCGGAGGCGTGGGAGCGGCCTGAGAAGTAGATGTGTGACGGGTTGTGAGCTAGGAGGGCGAGGGTTGTGGATTTGCCTAGGCCTGCTGTTCCTATGTGGTTGTTAGTCCCATCGGTGCTGGTGATTGTTGTTGTTGGGCGAGGGTTCGCGTGCTGTGGGTGTAGGCTTGTCTTGTGACGGTGGGTGGATGGTGAGCAGGTGTTGGATGATGTATGTAATTTTGGAGGAGATGGGCTCTCTTTCTTGATGACATCGACAGCATCCTGAGTGAGCCTCATCCAGCACTTGAGAGAAAAGGGCGAATCTCAGGATGAATCGTGACTGGAATACTCCTGGCAGGTTGACGTTACGGAAGGGATTTATCGCCAAGACCAGCGTGGCGGGAAGGCAAGCGAATGGAGGAATATGTCGCGGCTAACATGAGGTAAGGTAGAATGATGGGGGTGAGGCGGCATAGAGCTCATGCGCGAGTCCGGAAAGCTCTTTTCGATATCAAGCTGGACATTAATATCGTAGGAGGTGAGATCATAGTCTTGGGCCTTAGCTATCCATCCCTCGATCTTGAGTCTCACACAGAGCGTATAGACCCAGGGAAGAAAGAGGAGACAGACGGAAGTTATAGGAGAATAGGCCTTGCTCTCTTCGAAAGCTACATATTGAGCATTGAAGGGACAGTTGGAAGAATGGGAACTCAATAGACTCACCGCCCGTGATAAAGATGACCTTCCCTTCGAGAGATGGGATATCTGGAGTTGGATCATGCATGTCCTTTTCGTAGACAAAAAGGGCCACCATTGTTTCGAGGAAATCGAGTACCTCAGATGATATGTTGGTCGTGTCGGCTAGATACTCGGTCACTAGATGTCGCGAGGACGTCGGGAGGGACCTATTCGTCGAGCGCTGCCGGTTGGGATCTCGCTCTCAATCCAGGTCAGGCGTGATTGCAATAGAATATGTAATCGTTCCAAGGATAGGATGACCTCTTGACCTAGAGGTAGCAGCTGTTGCGGTCTATCCGGCTGCCCAGATGTATCTTGGCAGTTCGCGATATTGAGGATGTTAGTCCGAACTTAGACCAGAGACTTGACCACGATCGACTGTGTGACTTGGGGAAGGTGGAAAGACAGGAGGGTATTCACTCGTTTTATATCTATTCAATGAATTCTATGCACTTCCAAGCCTCGCTCGATATGCGCAGCGAACTGCACTGACGCTTTCTTGGATCCTACGCATGCCTAGGCTACATCTCGTTGACGACCGTTCCATTCACCATGTTACGCCGTCGGCGATGTGTGTTCCCCCATTGAAACCTGACCTGAAGATCACAAATTTCCTGTTCCAAGTGCTGTGACTGGTCAGGGCAACGAAAAATAGTCGATTACAAGGCTAGGTTCCTGGGTAACGCTGGACGGATGAGGCTATCATGAGTGTAAGCCGTCTGCATAGTGGCTGGTCCAAAGCTAGGCTCATTCGGGCATGCGGGTCTGTAAGCAATTCGTGAGAAGACTATTCGTCGAGCGGGCTGGTCCGTTCAAGTGGTAAGACAGGACTGAACGACGAAGCTTGAGGAATGTGATGACGGAATGGAGCAAAGTGAATGATGATGCCGCCATGCCGGTTTGAGCGGTGGGGATGTAAGCCAGTGGCATTTGAAGAATTTCCGCTTTGGGGATGGCGGGCGGAGGTAGTCAGCCTTTCGGCATCATGCTTCTTTCACACATCAAGGCTTCGAGCTCGTGGTTATCGGCTAGCAAGCCGGCTCTTGCTTGGCTGCGCGCGCTCCCGAGGCAAAGAGTCAAAGACTGCGATAGCTCAGGCACAACAGAATCTACTTGAAGTGGTCTGGCGTCGAGAGTGACTCACTCCGATCGCGTCGCACGACACAAGGTTCTTGGAGGGATAGATCGAGCAAAGGTAGCAAGCCAATTGGTACTCCAGCGCCACTAGTGACCAAATCTAGCAGGCAAGAAAAGTCCAGCTTAAGCATCGGCGACAACGTTAGACGTGGAGCTTGCTGTGTTGCTCCCGTGCCGTCTGATGGTCGGAGTACGGATGCCACGCGGAGGAAAACGGGTCTGATCCGAGGGATTCGCTTTCGGGGTCCGAAAAGAGATGGGAGGACTGGGAAGGGTCTTGGGACACACATGAACGGCGTCGAAGATTACGCCGAGGCCGGGGGACCCTCCACATCACATGGCTCCGGGACTCTCTGATGGATCACGAAACAGAGGGAGACGGGGTGGAACGGGCTGGGATGACACGGGAATAAGAATTGCCGCGGTGAGTTTGCCGTTTGTGTTCTCTTCTACACTACCTGATGACTGATGCCCCACGGCTGCCTGCTCCCCCAAGTCTCCAGTCCATGCGAATCATGCGAGTTTACCGGGAGATGACCATCAGAGAGGAAGTCAAAATCAGCTTGGGCCCGTGCCGTGGCCCGTCCAGTTCCGTTTTATGGTCGTTTTATGGGGTAGGTATCAACGGGTTGATTGTATGTATGGAGTAGTAGTTTGTTGCCGTTTGGAGCAAGAGGAACGAGGAAAATGAAGGGACTTGAAGCTGGCACACTGAACATGCTCTCGGCGGGGAGATGGGATTATAACGCAGGGAAACCCAGTCCCTCGGGTCCGCGCAATGTGAATTTCCCCTGTTTCACTTTGAGCAAACGGTTCTTTGGACGGAATGCACAGGTCGGCCCATCCATCCAATGCAACGGCCAGCGGGGAGATGACAGATGTTTACGCGGAAAGCTATCTATGGGGCCTGGAGTTTGGTGACGGGCGATGACTCTGAGAGTGAAGCTTGCAGGCTGCACATTCTCTTCCAGGAGGTTCCAATGATAATCACAAACAGCGTAGGTGGAATTGCTCCGGTGTGAGCTCCCGCCCATATGCATGTTTCTGATCCAATCTGTACAATTGGCTGGAAGCAGCAATGTCTTTGCCCGGGGCCATCTGAGCCGTGGAACCGCGAGACGAACTGCGCAATATTGGTCCGGGGTGACTGTGCATATTTTTGACATTTGACATTTGATATTTGTTTGCTCATTGCTAAGCATTGTATGGATGGATACATGATCTAATGACACAAGGCCAAGCTCCAAGTGACAAACAGTTATCTTGTGACTGGTCACTTTTCGACTGCAACCAGCACTTGGGTGCGGCCGGTGACCGGTCTTTCTCCTCCACCTCCAGCTTCCAGCTTCCAACTACGACCAATACGGACGAGTAGTCTACAGGTAACTTTACTGATTCCGGATCCAGTTCCGAAGGTGAGAAAAATGAAGGCAGCACTGCATTGCGAGTACGGATCTCTGTTTCCTCTATTGTCTTTCCACGGAGCCCGCGGTGTGAAGAGGGATGAATGAGGCCAGATCCGAATGGTGCAATATGGTTGGGATTGCATTGCACGAGAATACACTGAAGAGGTGCCGTCACCCGAAGCAAAGCCTCGCTGAGTGTGAATGCCAACCACGTCGGAAACTCTGGGGTTTGGGTTGCGTCGAGTGGGTGGTGTTGTCTTTGGTGATGGTGATGGATGGCAGTGTACGCTGCACCAGACAATAGCTCAAACCACAAACCAAGACCAAGCCACCTCTTGGGTTTCCTCCTTTGGTTTCCTCTGCCTCTTGGCCTGGCTCGGGGGTTGTTCCTTGACCTCTTCTAGGCGCTAACGCAACGGTGGTGCAGTGCAGTCAGGCCCGTTCCCTTTGCTCCGTTCAGGGTCTCGTGGTGTAGGCCCTCCCCGGTCCCCTCATCATGCTCCCCCACGTCGGGCCGGTAATCAAAATCGAACTTGGTCTGGAACTCCTGTCAGCCGATGTTTCCATGCAAGGCCAGAGTCTCTTTTTTGGCTGTGTTGCCTGCCTGCGCGGTCGGATATTCTCCGCTTGGGGAGTATTCCTTGCGAGACCGAAGAAGAGTTGCAGCAATTCCGTAATATGATGAGTAAAGGAAAAGCAAAAAAAAAAGAGAAGGAAATAAAGGGTTGTGTAGTGTTGTATTTGTGACTGTTGCAATTGGACTAACCTTTGCATGCCAATGTGGATTTTTCGATCCAACTTCCACACACCGTTTGATACCCCGGCCCAAATGTTCTCCAATCGGTAGCCCCTTGAAAATGAAATCGCGGATAATCCGTCCTTGATTGCGTTGGCGCCGTCTCATCTTAGGTGGTTTGTACTCTTTTTCTCCGTGGGATCCCACTGGGGCCGATTGCCGAATTCGAATGCAACCCTTCATCAGGAACCCAGAGATTGACAACGGGCCTGGTAACGGGGCTCCGTTCGATCATCGATCAAGATGCCAAGTGTGGGAAGATGAAAAAAAAAATAGTAATGGGATGATGGGCCCGGCGAGCCTGGCGTTCGAAGGGGGGAGGAGGGTTGCAGCTGGAGTGGTGACGAAGCGGATGGCCGCGTAACGCGTCCCTTTATCCGCGTCACCTCATCTCGATTGTATTGCTGTCTTTCTCAGGGACTCTGCTCTCTCGTTCCCATGTTTCCCGAATTCCCGTCCCGCTGCCCTTGCGGCGTACCCTTCTCGGGGGTTGCTCATTCCCACCTGCGACGACCTGACCGTCAGCGTTGCCGGCCGGCCCACCCGGGCGGGGGATAGAGAAGTAGGGCGGTGCGGTGCGGGCGGGCGGAGCGAACGACTTGGACGGGCTTGGTTCATCTGCGGCTCATCTGCGGCCATTGACGAACCGAACGCATCCCCCCCTTGCTTGCTTGCGTGGTGGGTAGTGGATGAGCGGATATACGGGATAAGGGGGGTTGAGAGCCAGTACGGAGTAAGCCAAGCAGAAACGTGAGAAGCACGATGCTTTTTTGGCGTGATTGAGTGATTGATCGCTCGATGGAGATAAGGTGAGATGGGAGGAGGAGCCAGTGTGTGGGTGAGATGGATGATTGCCCTGGAAAGTTGGATGGGATGGGGTGGTCTAGGATGGCCTAGACTTGCAGATCTCTGAGAAGAGTGGCAAGGGGGGAGGGCGTGGTGACTGGTCGAGGTAGGGTGGAGGATGGATCGCTGAAGGATTCGTCCCGGGGCGGTCGGGCGGGAATTGGAGGATGGAAGGGAGGGTAGAGGTAGGGTAGGGGGGTTGTTGGAGCAGACAAGGAGTCTAGTTTCTGAGAAGACAGTCCTGCTCTTTGAGTTGTCTGGAGCCTGGAGGGAGGGGGGATATGTGAATATTGAAAAGACATAGAGTAAAATGGAGAGAACCAGAAGTAGAGAGAACACACGGGATGATCCCTCTCGAATCGGTTCAGAAAGCTGTCAAATCCCGGCAGGCGGCAGGACGCAGGACCTCAAATGTGTGTGAAGTCGGGAAACGGATCGGGGGGTCATAGTGACAGGACAGAGCTTGAGTCGAGAATGAGCCCATAAGTTCCGTCCCATAAACCCGCGGTCCACACAAAAAGAAGAGTCCAGTCAAGTCCAGTCCAGTCCAGCCGGGAGCCCGGGCCTCAAAAATCAAGGCACAACGAGGCACTGGGAAAGCTCATTACTCAAATGAGGTAGAAGGGGAGAAAGAAAGTAAACGAGTGCCCGGTTTCCAAGTTTCTCTCAGTGCCAGGAAAATTGGATCTCGTGGCCCCTGACTCGGATGTCTGCGGCCTGGAGCAGGGCGAGAGCGTCGGCGGCGGTGGTCTTGTGGAAGTAGACGACAAACACGTAGCCCTCGCCCGTCTCGCTGGCGGCCATTGTGCTCGAGAGGCGTGTCGTGGCCGTGTTGACGTGGGTTGAGAAGAGGTGCTTTTCTTGCGGCGTCATGGACGGCGGGAACCCAGATGCGCGGATGCCCATGAAATTTGACGACGCTCGGGGTCGGAGGGGTCCACTCGGGGAACCCATGGTGGCGATCGCTGGAGAAGCCGTGGTGAAGGTTTTGGGGGGTTATTTGGGGGAGACCGGTTTTGCTGTTGATCGACGATGTTATTGTCGTCGAATCGGGTGTTGTCCAGTTGCTGTTGCTGTAGTTGTTGTTCTTCTTCTTCGAGCCGTTGGCGAGAGAAGATGTTTGTCGTGACTGTGGCTGATGTTGTCGTCGTTTACTTTCGGGGAGGTTCGTCGACACCGGGTTACTAATAGTAAAAGTAGATTGTTTCCCGTTTCTGCTGGCCGAGATGTGTAATCAACCTTCCAAAGAACCCTTTCCGGTCTGCTCTGGCTAGCAGGCAAAGTCCCTTTATAAATCTATGGCGTCGACACTGGAGACGGAATGACGGAAGTTTCTTTGTCTGGAAGTGTAAATACCGAGGAAACCGTCTAGAGGATGTGGAGGGGTTTCTGGATTTGGTTGTAGCGGTGGTGATTGTGGTGGTAGCGGTGGTGACGAAACTGCAAAGAGGAGAGTCAAGATTGGACGGGATAAGGAGAGGAAGCAACGCAGTCAACAGGAATGTTCCAGACAAGCAGATGCACAGCAAAGGGTTATCGAGGGCAGAAAAAGAGAGCAAAAAAAAGCAGTGGTTGTGGAGGGGGACTTGAAAGGGTCTTTATCATCTCACGCCTCACGGCATCCACGGGAGGGGGAAGGGGTCTGGAAGGGGGCAGCGAACAAATAACATGGCCTTGCCATGGTCGCCTGGTACTGTAGTTACACAGCAGCAGCATCCCATCCCATCGCCCATTGCCCATCGAGACCCTCGTCGCCCTTCCTCATCACACATGTGTACTGGGTAAAAGGTACTGCGGATATCTACAAGGACACAGGTACCTTGAGCTGCAAGGTTCTGTGGTAATGTACATATTACTCCATGGCTTTCTACAACTCTGCCTTGTCCGTCTCCCACGGCTCCCCATGGCCTGGGAAGAGAGATTTAGGGAGGGGCGCATGGCTGGACCGAGGGCTGTGGATATCTCACGTCCCTTGACTGTGGGCTCGCCCAAACTGTGGTGCCGCTTTTCTTCGCCTTTACTCTGCTGCCAGCTGCCTCTCTCGCTCTCTCTCTCTGCTGCAGCAGCAGCTCTACCTTTGGCCAGTGTATGTCCAGTCCTTTCGCTTGCCGGGGCTGTGGAGTAAGAATGGGCAAGGAACAAAGAGACCCAGCGCCATAAAAGGTACGGATACACGGAGAGGGGCGCGCACCAGTGTACCAGACACTGACCAATGCGCCAGAACGGCTCCAGGGCGGTTCCAGGTTCCAGAATTTGTATGTCGTTCCCCTTCTCTCTGCCCCCCAGTCTCTGCGCAGTGCCCAGACCTGGGTAGTGCTCCAGCCAGCACCCAGACACAGGTAGATGCCACGGAATTCAAGAACTTGCGCCCAGAGGTTGCGCATAATGACTAAGGTTACCTTAGTTGAGGAGGACCCGCGGGGGACCTGTTCGCTGAAGTCCGTTGCGTCCACTGTCTGGAAGGACGAGTGCCGTCGCGGCATCATACAGGGGCACTGGGGTTTGGGCCAGGCTCTCCTTTCTTTGCTCTCCAAAGTGTTTGAGAGCTTTCTTTCTCTGGTTTTGGCTCTGGCCTTCTGATCCATTGAGACCCCTTCTGCTCTACTATGGCGTATCCGTAAACTATGCTTCTCTTCCTCCCAGCGTGGAGAGCGCATTTTTGCTTTGCCCATCCATTTCCCGTCAGCCAGGGCTGTCCAGGGCCTCAAGGATGCCGCCACTATTAATAGGATTCTAGAACAAATTGACAGTGTTTCAGAAACACGAGCCACTCTATTCTCGTACGAATTCACTTCACCACCAGCAATCAAATCTTTTGATGACCTCTCTTTTTGCGCGAGTGTACGGATACACGGCGGTGATTATATGGTTCAATGTTGAACAATATGTTTGAAAGATGCACACAATGTGGTATACAAGTATGGATATTGGGTATTTTGACTCAAGTTTGAGGGGCTCGTTTAACCAGTTAGCCGAACTTTTGCGGCCCCTCCAAGGCTGCATTTCCCGTCATTTTGAGTTGGCCCTTGAGCATGCCGTCTGGAACCTTGGGCAGAAACGGCCCCCAAGTTGCCTCTATTTCGGCTCCCTTTGTCTTCCATTCAGCCCTTTTGGCACTGTCGGCCGCGGGATGCGTTTTGAAGGTATTCGCCTTGGCCATGAATGTGTTCCAATTGTTTTGCAGCTTCGGGAGGTCGGAACGGTTGTTGACCAAGAAACACATTGTCTCGGTACTGCTGATGTGGTCTTTCGAAGCCAGCATCCTTCACATGTCCACAGTAAGGCATCTATCTACACATGAGATTATGAGGGAGAAATGGCACCGGAAGAAAAAAATCCTGCAGACTGTCATTTCAACTCAGCGCCTCCGATTGGACACACTCGATCGAAATGCCTCGTCGCTAATACGAGATGTCCCGGCGATCATTGCCCTTCACTTTACTAACCGGTGACTTATTACTGCAGCAGCGCAGACTGGCAGCAAGCCATAATCAAAGAGGCCACTCGCGCGCCGTTCCAACCCCTCGTATAAGCTCATTCTCGAGTGGATCTGCGCGACTCCATTCGCAGAAAAACCGCCTATTCCTGAAAGAAGGCCTTTCCCGTTCTCAAATGCTCATGTACATTACATGCGTTGATGCCCATATGCGAAGCTACACTCTAATTTCGATGCTTCCTTCATGGCTGCTCTCTGCTCCTCCCCAAGGCCGACCTGTAATATCAGCACCCTACTGTCAGCCAGGCTTATAATGTATTTCCGTTCTGTTTCGGCATCCCTCCCTTCTATCTGGGACCGACATCTGACGAGACCAAGAGAGGCTGAACTCGCCGACGCCGTTGAAGCTGCGGTCATAAGATCAAGGGTACTGTACATATAGCCACGCGGGCCACGGGTTGGGCACAGCGCAGATCAGTGCAGTCCGCCCTTCTCCATTCTCCATTTCTCCAGTGAGCGATTTTTACCAAGCGGCCATGGAAGCGTTTTGGCGAGGCGGCAAACCAATCTACGGACAGGAGCAAACTGTGGGCATGCTCCGGCCCGAAGTGGGAAATCGTTGCCCGAATGGAAAGGTCTCCCGAACTTCTGATCAACGGCTTCTGGCCTGATCACACGTGTCGTCTTGCTCATCACTTGTCTCGAAACTGGAGAGCCGTTATTTGCAAGGCGGCACCGGGGAAGCTATCTCACGGCTATCAACGTTAGTGCGGATGCCTTCTTGTCACTCTATTCCTGGATGCCCCCTTTGTGCAGTCACTCACGCAGCGTTGTACAACTTGACTTTTGACAGTTCCACCGCAGGAAGGGGGGGGGGGGGGGATTGAGAACGGTCTAGGCCTTCGCCGAAAAATGCTATGCCGACAATGCAAACATAGGACAAACCGACTCGTGCAAGTCGCATCACCATCTACAGCACAGCCTGGAGCTGGCCTGCTGCGCGCGCAGGAAAGCAAATAGAGCGCGCATAATCCGCGGCGGCTGAACGGGGTTCAATCACGATCAATGTAACCTTGTAAGCGAGCTAGACGCCGCCGCCGAGGGGACTGGGCTCTAGCCTCTTGGTGTCGCAATGTCGACATCGTGCATCGTGCATCACGCGCATCCCGTTGGTGTACCGTGTGGCCCTTGAGCCTGGTCGCTTGAATCGCAGTTTCGAACAGGTGGCACGAAGGAGGAAGAGGAGATAGAGGCACAGATCAGGAGGTGAGCTTGACAGAGAGACGAGAGAGTAGCGAGGGGTCCCACGATCCACGATAGCTCAGAATAGGAGATTTTCGGTTTCAAGTTGAGTGTAGGTGGTGGCACGACGGCGGCGGCCGGGGGTAGCTGGCCCTGGGATCCTTTGACGATTTGCTCGCCTCTTTTCTCGCCTCGCCGACCCGGACCTAGCTCCGGACCCTTTCCCCGTGCGTCCCTAGGTAGGTAGCTGGTATAACTGCTCATGTATCCAGGTCAAAGGTACTCTGAACTTTGGGAACTCCGTACTTGATGATATGGAGGAGGCCTGTTCGAGTTCCATATGGGTGACAGACGGATTCTCGCGATGGAACCTGGCCACTGCAAGCTAAGCAAGCGAGCCGAAGCTTATTGCACTCCAACCTCGCCCGTCAAATTGAGTGTATTTCCCACAAACGTTGCGTGATGTGATGTGCACAACTGCCGGAGCTCTGTTCCGTCACCATAGTTATGGATCAGGATAACTTCGATGGAGCCCCAGCTGGCCCGGCCCTCAGGTTCAGGTGTCTGTGCCGGATCGAGACAGACTGGACGCGTAACGGTAACGCACATGGCAGTGTGAGAAAGGAAAAAGTTCCTACAAAATCCTTGAGATGGGATTCTTGTGAATGCTACCCTACTGGCAAGAGTAAGGTACCTTGGCAGAGTGCCTGAGCTTAAGTCACTATGTACGCGACAGCTATTTTGGCATGTGTTTGCCAGACGGGAAGATAAACTTGTCCGCGTCAATGTGACACCTCCTTTCAGGGTCCTCTTTGTCTCGAAACCCGCGGTTTTGATTTCCCATTGACGAGTCCACACGGGCTTACGTGCCCTCGCTCATGCTAAACCAACTGTCCGAGCAGCGCAACGCGAACAAGAACCGTCCCACCCCCACGCGAACCCGACGAGACGTTCCTTTGCACGTTCCTGCGCATCTTCAAAGGATGTTTTCTCGTTTTCTCTTCGCTGTTGCGCAGCCGTCCACATTGTGACATTGCAGCTTGCGCAGTCCTAGGCCGCCGACAACACCACCACACCCCTTCCCGCTTGGCACGCTGTCACACTGACTCCGCCTCCGAGGATCTCGCGGTTTGGCCGTTGGCCCGTTGCCGTTGCTGTCTCCAGCCCCCGTGCAACCCGGTCGATCCTCTGCCTTACCAGAATACGTGATCAACCGAGGAGGATCCCGGGTCCCGCAGAAGGCTTCCAGGAGTTGAGGCATTACTAAACACCAAGACCTGCGAATATTTTACGCTCGTCCGTTCCGCGTCACGCTACTGGTGATCCTCTGCCCTGGCAGAAACACTCTGACGCGCAACACAGATCGTACGCAAAACCCACGAGGTATGAATAGTCACAAGTCATCCGCGACGCGTGTCTTGTCTTGTTACCCGTTGACACATCCTCTTTTTCCACTTTCCACATGTTCCTTCATATGCTTAGTTGCAACAAATGTCCTTAGCTGCGGTTGCGACGTTGGATGCCTAGCGTGACTAACATTTATGGTGCTGCGCCTTGGCTGGACTTGCCGTGCAGGCTCATGTATGAAGACATGGTGACCCTTGCTTGAGGGTCCCTGGGCGTCGGGCGCAAAAAACAACTACGGATACGGAAAACAGTTCATCGCACAATGAAGTCCAAAGGTCCAATCTCTTTCTGGAAGGCCACTAATACGGCACCTCCGAGGCTGATTGAAATTGCTGCCCGCGGCAAGCAGATTTGGCGCCGCTGGGCGTGTTGTGCGAACAGACCACGAAACAGAAAAGCCAAGAAGGAAGTCTGGGATATCTCCTTTCGCTCGCAAGAAAAGTTTCCGAGAGACGTGGCTTTTTGGTTACTATCGAGTCGGCCCGAAAGAAGAAGCTCTTCGTCGAATACCTCGCCCAAAGGATGGATTGATCTGGGAATGAGATGTGACGGATACGGACATCAACGAAGAAATGCGTATTTTAGAGTGCGATTAGCTATTCAAGGGTAATTATTCCGGTGCTGGGATGTTGACTCAATGACGCGGATCCAGCCAACGCTTCTGAGATACACATGCGCCTGCTGCGTCTCGACGCTGCTGACTGGTCTGCAATTCACGAGACTTTCTGCAGCAGCCACTGGTTTCCGCATATCGTATGCCCCGATTCGTAGAGGCCTCCAGACTTGTGATGCTTCTGGTTGGGCCACTCGAAGGTCGGCGGGATCTAACCCTGGATACGAACCTCCACAGTCATTGCTGAACTTCTTACATGGTCTTTTCACTTTGGTACAAATGCTGTTGGCAAGAGGCTGTTTGGGCCGTTCTAGAACACCATTGGTAGTGAGTGACCAGGTTGCCGTGATGGTGGGTGATATCGCTGAAAAGCCTTTGTCCTTTCATCTCTTGGGTGTAGCGGACATCGAACGACATTGTACCGGCTAGTTCCACTCGATACACACCTTGTTGACAAAGTACCACCAAATAAACGCGGGTACCGAGGACCTATGGCCCGATACTTGAATCCCGAGGTGTCACACGGTGACGTGTAAGTACCCCAGACAAGCAGGAGTAGTCATTCCGGATTCGATGATGAAGCAGGAGGCGTTGTTGGCGTATGCAGTCGATAAGATCCTGCCTACCCATTCGATGTTCCGGAACAAGCAGGCAGAAGAGCGGTCTGGAATTCCGAGAGGGATAATGTGACTGGACGAACGAAGCAGGCTTTCTTATATTACGCCCGAACTCTGTCTAGGCAATAGCACAAGGTCAAAAAATCTCGGTACTAATATCCCGAGTTGTTTGATATTCTAAATTTGGCCTTAGACTTTGAGTCATTATAGCGGATTGTAAGGGTCAGGATGTTGAAGGTGTTTATTGCCTACCAACAGTGAATTTGAAGCCATGATCTTAAGTTTCAGCTAGCCCAAATCTATTCAGCGAATTTCGTCACAGTATTTGGTCGAGGAGGCCACGGCATATATGATACA